CAAGTGCGGGAGGAACGAGCGGGCCTGCCCGCGGTTACCCAGCGAGATGTTGCAATAGAGACCTGCAGAAGGGCTTCTACGAGTCACGGAAGTTACTCCTACAGTTGACTTAGACTTTTTCTACTACGCGTGGCCGTGAAACGTTGGCTGTACGAGGGCTGGCAGTAGATGCCCTGGGGTTTTGCGACGCTGGGCTGTGGAAGCATTTGGCTGGTGTGGAGCCCCGAGTCAGAGCTGTGTGCGCAGCTCTGGACTCTGAGACATGAGCGTTGATTCATAAACCTTGCTGCTGCTTCCATAAAAGTACAAATACGACACGCGGCCCTCTCGGGCTCCTTGGGTTTGGGAGGATCCTGAGAGCTGAAGGGTTTTCGTTTGTTCTGTGGCTGCAGAAGTGACTGCAGTAAATGGGTGCAGCGTTTGTGCGTGACTGGTGCCGAGGCCTGCCGGCTTATGAACCCATTAGAAATTTCTGTATTGGTAATGATGAAATAAAGAATATATCCCAAGTTCTAAGCGATCTGATGTGGCTGGCATTGGCAAAATAAGGAGGGAAGTGTTTGAAAGCACAGCTTAAGAGACTTTTGGAAGGACTGCTGTAATGTCTGCAGTGTGGCGGATTTGAAACAGTGTGAGAAATCAGCTCGTTTAAATTTGTTATGTCCAAAAGTCATGTTTTGTTAAAAGACATAACTAGTTCTATGTGTGAATTAAAATTGATGTGGTAGATGTCACCTTTTATTGGCAGTCTTTTGCTCTTCATACTGCCTCATGCTCAGTCCCTTTCTTTTTCTCCACATTAATTGAAGCTTCTTAATGTGTGTTGAAGTCTCAGTCAACAGTCTAGCCCTTAAATGCTGTGTAGTTTAACTGGCTTAGTTTAGAAATTATAGGCTTGAATTTGCTTGTACGGATCTGAACCTGTTAATATGCTGTTAATTTAATATTATTATTCCATAATAAAAAGGAAAGAGGAGGATAACGTAAGGTAAACACAGAGCTCCCTTGGATCACAGTGTGTTGTGAGTGCATTTTTTTTTTTTCAGAGCACCATTCAGCAACCAAAACACAGAGCTGCTGATTTTTTTTGTCTAACCTTATTGTAGCTAGTTATTTTTAGCTTAGGTTAATTTTTTTAAAAGCTATCTTTATGCAAAGCAAAATATGTATTTTGGGGATGAGTGTGTATTTTTTTATGCTTCAGTAGCTAGAAGAATAGGATTCTTTCAAACTTAAAGTTTGTCAAAAATCAAACAGGAAAAGGAAGGAAAAAATCTATGATAATTATGGTGCATGTTTAAAATATTTTTGTGGTGATCTGATATAATGTTCTTAGTGTTAAAAATATTCTTGGGGAATGATAACTGGATGATCAGAAGAAAACTAGAACTATGGTATGGTTCAAATGTTTTTAACTTTTGGGCAGGCTGTTTAAGTTAATAGATTTTGGGGTAATTAAAACGTTTTTCAAAGCATTCATGAAGGAAATACTAGTTTCCTATGTATCTTCTAAATCTTATTTGTGAGAAATCAGAACTAGCGACAATAGTGACAACATATGATGAGGTATTTCTGACTGTCACATGAAACTTGAGATGTATGTAGTGATTGTCATACATGTATGTTTTTGATGTACAGGTTCAATGATTATTCTGCATTAGACAGAAGAAGTGTTCTTCGTCTGTGACTTGGAGTGTTTCGAGGATTTTTATGTGCAGAGGTAATATGTTATTTATGGAAGTGGTTTAATATTTTAGATGTCTATGTGAAACTGGTGATGGTTTAATGTATTTATTTGCATCTAACAAGGTAGATTTCAGGTCAAAGTGAAATCATCAAATGGTAAAAGTACAACTTTGATCTGAAGTTGGCTGAAAAGATTACTGCTGTTACAATTACAGAAACTTATAGAGTTTTAAAACCACGTGGTCAAATCAGGAATGTGTCAACTTTATCAGTTATTTCAGCAAAATTTATTCAAATAGTTATTGTTGCAGTTTCTAATCTGAAGTAGTGTTAATGTATGGTAAGCCTCAGAGGAGATGCCATTGTATTTGATCTGTTGAGAGCAAACATGTTTTAGTAGCATTCTTGTTTATTTACCGCTTTCTAAAATTTATGTCTCTGTTTTTTATTTAATATGATTTTCTGTCCTTTGCTAAATACATTTCCTGGGATATTGGGAATTTCTGGTTTTTGTTTTCCTTGAAACAGGAATTAAGATGGATGAAATATTTTATTGGCCATAGCAGCAGCAGGATGTATAAGGTGGGTATGTTGAAAGAATATGGTTAATATCCTTGCAGAGTATTTTAATTTTTGATTCTTTGCCTGTCTGAACACAAAGAAATGACAGATGGTAAGCTAGGGTTCTTTCCAGGGGTAGATATAGGTCACTTACCCACTTTTGATTGTGGTAGGCTGCTATGTGTTTCGCACAGGTTACATGAGTAGATGCAGGCAACCTTAGGTAGCTGATGCATTTTAATTTTGCATCCTTTAATGGCAGTTTTTCAATGTGTCCTTTCCCTAGGGTTTATATGCTTTTTCTTTTGTAAAACTGGACTGAGAAAATACCACAAAGTTTTTCAGAATCTTCTTTTCAGTGTTCTGGTTAAATGTGATCAAAGAAGATTCAGTCACCATCTACGTACTTCCCTTCTTACATAGACAGTTTTTGTTTCTGTGTTTGAGTTGCTGTTTGTTGTTGTTGTCTTTTTTTAAAGTTCTTTAATGTCATTGAGGGTGTACGCCAGTGGGAGGGTACTCCAATGAAACTAATTGTT